TACGACTAGGATCAGTGCATTACGGTTACCTGTTAGATTGTCCTACTCGGTTACAGTAGTCAACAATCGCTTTGCTACTTCGAACAAATATATCCCTTTCCGGGACATATCAAGTGTCAATAAAACCCCGGGTATCAAAAGAGTACTCTTTTTTTCGATACGTGGGGTTTATTGGCGCTGACATTTACAGAAACGGTCCGAACTTTAACAGAAGAGAACTTTTTTTCAAGGAAGACATGATGGGGTAATGGATAGCGGCTCGGATTGAGGAATCGGAGAGCCGAATATGAATTCCAGTCGAATCCATTATATTCACTTACGTGCTAATACACTTGAGAAAGGTATGAAGCCTCTTCTTCTTCCTCCAGCCAAGGGTAAATAGCAGAACAAACCTGGTTCTTTAGCCTTGAATGGCAACTGGTCTACTGCAGTAAGAAATGGCAACGTACTGCGGGAAAAAATCTGCCTCGTCAGAAAGATACATGATCGCCTAAGCATGCATCACGCACAGCACATAACTTACTGACGCTTTTTTTCATTGTTTCATTTTCATTTAATTTTATTTATAAGGGTTGATCAAAAGGTAATATCTGTTCTTTAATTCCAATTCTGGTGATGTCAACGAGCACTCGTTGTCATTTTCGTAATCCTCCTTGTAGTAGAGACTTTGTAATCGCAGATACAACTATAGTAACGCCGTTGAACAATACTGGTGTCAGACGCCTTCGAATATCACCGACATTAATAGTACTTGCCTGATAATACTCGCTCGAATAGTAATGTGTATAGCGATCAGTAGAGAGAAATAGTATAGTGAATGGAGTAGAGAATAGCGGTCTATATAGTAATAGTGGATAGAGTAGAAATACAGATCGTTAGTCGTCACGTGACTTCCTATATATGTGTTTCCTCTATGGTTACGTAGTTCTGAGAATTAACGTTTTTTGTTGTTAATGAATACTCGTTGTTACTTTCGTAATGCTCGTTGTAGTAGAGACATTGTAATCGCAGATACAACTGTAGTAACGCCGTTGAACAATATTGGTGTCAGACGCCTTCGAATAACATTCGCACTAATAGTACTCGCTCGAACAGTAATCCGTATAGTGATCCGAATAGAGAAATATTATAGTGAATAGTATAGAGAATAGCGATCTGTATAGTAATAGAGGATAGAGTAGAAAGAGTGATCAATCCACACTAAATCTCGTATATATATTTCAATTAACCGTCACGTGTTCCTGTTCTAATCTCGTGACATTTCAAAACATTTGCCAATAGGTGTTTTGTGATGTCAACGAACACTCATAGCCACTTTTGTGATGTCAACGAATACTCGTTGTCACTTTCGTAATGCTTGTTGTAGTAGAGGTTTTTTAATCGCAGATACAACTATAGTAACGCCGTTGAACAATACTGGTGTCAAACGCCTTCGAATAACACTTGCACTAATAATACTTGTATGATAATACTCGCTCGAATAGTAATCTGTATAGTGATCTGAATAGAGAAATAGTATAACGAATACTTATACGTTTCCTCTATGGTCACGTGGTCTACTTAATTCATTAATGGTATCGACTGTGTTTGCACACTGGCGATCTATGTTCAAACTCAAGTGTCGGCAGCGACACTTTATTCCTATATTACACCAATGCATTAAATATAGAGTATATTAGTGGGGAGTCAGATACTTACCGGAACGGTAGAACTGACCATTTTTCCAGCATCTCCAGCAATAGATTGGGTATATGAGTTCCACTAGATGTCTGAAGAGATCTTGAGTTCCAATAGCTGTTCAAGACAAGGCGCATCCTTGAGAGACCACACACATCTATTCTGATAGAGGAAAGTTCTGATAGCTTTGAGAATTAAAGTTTTTCTGATATCAATGAATACTCATTGTCACTTTCGTAATGCTCGCTGTAGTAGAGACTTTGTAATCGCAGATACAACTATAGGAAAACCGTTGAACAATACTGGTGTCAGACACCTTTGAATAACACTTACACTAATACCAACTTGCTCGATAATACTCGCTCGAATAGTAATCCGTATAGTGACCTGAATAGAGAAATAGCATAGTGAATAGAGTAGAGAATAGCGGACCGTATAGTATAGAGGATAGACTAGAAATGCAGATCAGTTAGACGTCACGCGACTTCCTATATATGTGTTTCCTCTATGGTTACGTGGTCTACTTAATTCAATAATGGTATCGACTGTGTTTGCACACTGGCGATCTATGTTCAAATTCAAGTGTCGATAGCAAAACTTTATACCTATATAACACCAATGCATTTAATAGGAGAAGCAAAAACATCTTAATAGAATGAATACAAAGTCTCATTATTTTAAATCTAGTATTCAAGTAAGAGTTATTTTTTGCCAAAAGGCAGAGTATTACGAGTTGCGACGTGACATCTGTCCTCCTTTACGACAGCGAATGTTGGACGCTCTCCTTAAAGATGAGAAAGAAACTCGAGGTGGCGGTGGTATTGTTCTACAGAAGGATACTGAGGATATCATGGACCGAGCGTGTGAGTAAAGGATACAAACAAGAAGGAAGCTTATACTTAACATCAGGAAAGGGCAGCTGAAATTTCTGGAACTCTTAATGAGAAAGGGCTGTTTAGAGAATCTGATACTCAAAGGTCGAATAGAGGGAAAGAGAGACAAGGGAAAGCAACGCATGTAATACCTAGCAGACTTAAGCAAGTGGATGACAGAATACGGCCTAGGAGAAGTTGCAAAGGGACAAAAATTATTGAGAGCTGCAAGGGATAGGGGAGAAATGGAGAACCATGATCGCCTACGTCCTGAATGGACACGGCACATAAAAAAAGAAAGAAGTTATTTTAAGGTATAATATTCTTTCAATTTCAATCCTCTCATGTTCTTTATCTGAAGGCAATGCCAGATCTGTGAGAAGGCAGATATTTTTTTTTGTTTGCTTAGAGCCTTTAAAAACTATTTGGCAGAAGTGGCAAAAGGACAAAACTTATTGAGACCTACAAGGGATAGGGAGAAGTGGAGAACCATGATCGCCTACCCACTGAAGGGACACGTCATATAAAAAGAAAGAATACCTGTTCTTTAACCCTAGATGACTAACCATCAATTAAAGTTACACCACTACTAACCATGGGTATATCATACCCGATTTTGAAAATATCAAAAACATAAATTAAATATAAATCTTTACTTGAAATATTTTACATGCAGGCACGTCAAACTTTGTACTTTGAGTTAACATTAATAGGAACTGAAAAACATTATTTAGGTAAGAAAATCAGGTACTAAAAAATTGTAATTAAAAATAGCAATATTTGCGCTGGGTACTTGTTGAGTTGTTGGGAGTGTTCCCCGCGTGTGTGTATTTGAATAAAGACAAACACAGTTGTAGGGATAAATACTGGTATATTTGTAAGAGGTAATTAACAACAGAATGACTAGTAATAAGGAACGCCGGTTAGTAAGTAACAATAGCAAAAGTCTACAGTCCAACGGTATGTAATGGTAACCTGATCCTTCACACTGCACGTCTACTCTCTCTAGCACTGACTTATATCGTAGAGGGATAAGTCCATTATCAGTCAGAAGGTGGGTGCGCCCCAACAGTACTATATACCCATGGCTAGTGTTCTAGGGTTAATTACAACCCATTTAACAGTAAAACGTAAAAGTAACTTAAGGCTTTTGTTAAGCTTGCGATGAAGAATAAATTCTGATCTAAGGGGTCTATGCTTGCCTAGTTCATTAAAATGAAACAGGTTTGAATATGTTAGAGCAAGCATAGGTCACCTTTTTTCGAGCTGTGGGCCGCATGATTCCTGGTTCATCAGAAGGCAGGTTTCACTACTTAAAAAGATTCAAGGTAATTTTTCGTAGTAGGTACCTTAGTTATTTTCACTACAGAAGATTCTATGTGTAAGCACATACCTTAATAGTGGATATTTCTTTTTATTTATAGAAAATATTTTTCTAATTAAAAAGTTGAAGTTTTGGTAAAATATTATCACTGATGACTGGCGTCTGACACATATCCCTCCGTGGGATTTATTTCTAATTTATTCGTTTGAAAATTAAAAAAAGTTTTATTTCTTCTACAGAGAAAATAATTGTTATGAATATTTCTTGTTTCAAAATCAAAATATGTTTACACCTTAGTAAAAATGTCAATGGTCCAAAATGCTGTCAACGTTACATTCAACGAAATGTTACAAAATTCAAGAAACATTGTACTTAATCCTAGTTTATCTCTGTTGTTATGTATGAGAGAGTGTGTGAATGAACAAGTGAAAAAAAAACAAAAACAAATTTTAAGAAACGTTATTTTTCTTATGAAATTCCGCCTGCCATTCGGGATTTAATTTGCCCATGACTCTTTTAGAGTATAAGTTTTATACCCCGGGTATATTAGAAATATATAAATATACTTGGGTATATATATTATACAGGATGAGTAGGAAGAAAATCCATACTGAAAATTAATGTCTGAGAGAGTATGTGAGTGAACAAGTGAGAACAAAACAAAACCAAATTTTTAAGAAACGTTATTTTTTCTTATGAAATTGTGTGCCATAGAGAAAGACCAACAAACCACATGCGTCCCACGAGACTCAGTTTGCCCATGACTGGTCTAAATATTTAGAAAACTTAATTTAGTCTGTCGTAGGGTGTATACATCGCGCAGTATAATCAATACAAAGGAATCAGTCAATGTGCCTCGCTTCCCAACCATCGGATTCCTTCAGACAATCCAATTCCGTGAGACATCTCAGTGTAATTTTGCTAATCATCACCTTTTGTTATATACTGAATTTAGGTTTGTTTCGAATGGGGTTTTCGAAAATTGTTTACCATAACATTATGACAGGTCTGTATATCTGCATACGCTGAAAGGAAAACATTGAGATGTTCTGGATGATGATGATGATGATGATGATGATGGAGGAGTTGTTGATGCAATGATGGTGATGATGTTTAGGGTGGTAACGCTAGTTGCGAAAAAATGGAAGAACGCTGAGAAAAGGATTTTTTTTCAAATAATTTGACGAGTTTAAGAAGGTAGGGGAAGTGAAGAAGAGAAATGGGGATGGAAAAGAGAGAAAGAAAGAAAGAAAGAAAGAAAGAAAGAAAGAAAGCAAGAAAGAAAGAAAGAAATGGAGAAATGACGAAAGAAAATAAGAAATAAAAAATATACAAAAATGATAAAAATATCGAAAACTAAAGAGAAAAGGAAAAATGAAAAGAGGAAAGAACTGAAAGCAGAATATGGAAAAAAAAGTGAAAAAGAAAGATAGATAGATAGATAGATAGATATTAACAGACTGATAGATAGATAGATAGATAGATAGATAGATAGATAGATAGATAGATATTATGAACAGGCCAAGATAGATATGAAGATAGATAGATATGAAGATAGATAGATAGATAGATAGATAGATAGATAGATAGATATGAATAGACCGGGTTAGATAGATAGATAGATAGATAGATAGATAGATAGATAGATAGATAGAAGAGTGCAGAATACAGAAAAATACTAAAAAGTAGAAAAGAACGAAAGAAAGAAAACAGATTATATGTATAAAATAAAGAAATGCATATTGAAAGAAAGAAAGAAAAATAGAAAATAATAAAAAGAAAGAAAGGAAGAAAGAAAGTAATTGATCAGAATATAGAAAAATAAGAATAATTTGCAAAGAAAGAAAGAAGGGGAAAAATATAGAAAATAATAAAAATAAAGAAAGGAACAAAGAAAGAATGTAATTGAGCAGCATATAGAAAAATAAGAATAAGTTGAAAAGAAAGAAAGAAACAAAGAAAAAAGAAAAAGAAACAAAATACAGAAAATAAGAAAAAGAAAGAAAGGATTAAAATAAAGCAGAATAGAGAAAAATAATCAAAAAAGAAAGAAGCGAAAAAAAAGAAAGAAGGTAAGAACACAGGGCAGAAGATGGAAAAATAATTTTAAAAAAGTGGAAAAGAAAGAAAGAGATATGAAGTAAACAAAAGAAAGAAAAAAAGAAGAAGAAAAAGAAGGGAGAAAAAAGTAGATTAAGAAGAAAACCAAAACCAAAAAAAAAAAAAACGACGAAGAGGAACGAAAAAGAGAGAATACACGAACCATTGGTAATAAGATGCAAGGAACGAAGGGCATAGAATGTTGGCGGGGGGCATAATCCAGCAAATCAAGAAGGCAGGTGGGAGAGTGTAGTTGGCTTGCCGGCAGTATTGGGGGAGATATATGCGTCGCAGAAGGCACACTAGCGCCAACGCTGCCTAATTGCCATCTTAATCAGTTCCGGCTTCCTGTCTCCGTCAGGTGGTCCCACTAACCCGCAGAGAGATGCTTCCATATATAGAAACGTTGAATGCCAACAGCTCCTAGCACCTGCTTGTTCGTCCCACCCATCCATTCATCTCCCGTCTAACTAGACTGCAGAAATGTCTCGCCATCACGTCAGATGATAACTCCTACAGAAATGTTGTTGTTATTATTATTATTATTTACTAAAGCTGGGTACAGTGAACGAGCGACAGTTTTCTGAAATCTATGAAACTTCCCCAGTGCTGGAATTGGAATGAAAGCAGTGATGGCACCTACCCTGAATCTATCATCAAAAAGAAAACATCCTCTACCAAGTGTTCCAAGAAATAGGACTCAAGATAAACCTTTGAAAAGAGAAACTATGATCTGGAATTGGAATGAAAGCAGTGATGGTACCTACCCTGAATCTATCATCAAAAAGAAAACATCCTCTACCAAGTGTTCCAAGAAATAGGACTCAAGATAAACCTTTTGAAAAGAGAAACTATGATCTGGAATTGGAATGAAAGCAGTGATGGTACCTACCCTGAATCTATCATCAAAAGAAAACATCCTCTACCAAGTGTTCCAAGAAATAGGACTCAAGATAAACCTTTTGAAAAGAGAAACTATGATCTGGAATTGGAATGAAAGCAGTGATGGTACCTACCCTGAATCTATCATCAAAAGAAAACATCCTCTACCAAGTGTTCAAAAATAGGACTCAAGATAAACCTTTCGAAAGCAAAACTGGAATTGGAATCCTCCTGAATCCATCATCAAAAAGAAAACATCCTCTACCAAGTGTTCCAAGAAATAGGACTCAAGATAAACCTTTTGAAAAGAGAAACTATGATCTGGAATTGGAATGAAAGCAGTGATGGTACCTACCCTGAATCCATCATCAAAAAGAAAACATCCTCTATCAAGTGTTCCAAGAAATAGGACTCAAGATAAACCTTTTGAAAAGAGAAACTATGATCTGGAATTGGAATGAAAGCAGTGATCACCTACCTGAATCAATCATCAAAAAGAAAACATCCTCTATCAAGTGTTCCAAGAAATCCACTCAAGATAAACCTTTTGAAAAGAGAAACTATGATCTGGAATTGAATGAAAGCTCACCTACCCTGAATCAATCATCAAAAAAAGAAAAACATCCTTAAGTGTTCCAAGAAATAGGACTCAAGATAAACCTTTTGAAAAGAAAACTATGATCTGGAATTGGAATGAAAGCAGTGATGGCACCTACCCTGAATCCATCATCAAAAAGAAAACATCCTCTATCAAGTGTTCCAAGAAATAGGACTCAAGATAAACCTTTCGAAAAGATAAAACTATGATCTGGAATTGGAATGAAAGTAGTGATGGCACCTACCCTGAATCAATCATCAAAAAGAAAACATCCTCTATCAAGTGTTCCAAGAAATAGGACTCAAGATAAACCTTTTGAAAAGAGAAACTATGATCTGGAATTGGAATGAAAGTAGTGATGGCACCTACCCTGAATCCTTCCTAAAAAATCAGGATTTATTAAATACTATACACTTGAAATTCTTCGGCGCCGGAATCAGTTATAACAAATTTAGTATATGAGATTAGGAAATTGAACACAGAATAGACTGTGCTAGAGGTAGTTTCCCTCAGCACCGCAGATTGCTACAAAATCAAAGTTTCAACATGAGAACTCTAGTCATATTCTTAAATAACCTCGTCAGATCGAGACATTCATTCGGATGGTTTGCATGACGCCAAACCTGTTCAGAAATATCTAAACTGTAAGTTCTATACAACTGCTTTCTAAGATCAATGGTTAAAAGTGGATTTCAGCGAAAGAAGCAGGTCTTGGAGAAGATTTTTTAAGCATTTCACCCCCAGCAAGGCGAGAGTTCCTCTAGCCCACAACGGGGTTACAGAGGGTAGAGAACAAGAGGCGTTTTTGGGAAGAGGATACAGAGAAGGGCGAGGAAGAATATTAAGGTATCAGAAGATGTCGATTGACATTACACTTCAATATTTGAAGATTATAGTTTTCAGGGAAGCAAGTAAGAGGAAGTGAATACCACAGACGCGAAGTGCGAGAAAAAAAGCTGTGTGCGTAGATTAGACGGTTACATTTAACTGTTTTGACAGTGAAAGGGTGGGACCGAGATGACAACCTAGTACCACGCTTAAATTCATGCAGTCTGGGAACCAGCGAAAGTAGCTCGTCGGAACAGTTAGGGTGAAAATACTTGTAGAAGAGACAGAGGGTAGCCACGGCACGTCTGTGAGAAAGCGACTCTAGACTAGATGCCAGATCAGGACCTATCACATTGCATATCCGTTTCTTCGAAATTCGTGGACTGGCGCTACAGAATCACAGAGAAAGAACTGTACCAAATAACAGAAATGACATCACTTGAGGAATTTCAACAGCAGCATAAGCTAAAATGGATATCACCTGTAACTCGAAGAGAAAATAATCACATAATTAAGATATTGATATTCCACACTACTTCAAACAAAAGGTTAGGAAGGAAACCCCCCATCAATACTGGAAAGAGCTATAACAGCTACTGAATTTGGGAAACCTAGAAAAACATTTCAACCGACAACTGTACTGACTGCCCGAGCAACGTATGCCTAATGTTTTCTTATAAGAAAACAGATAATATTAACTAAATCATTATAGAATGGGAGAACACATACTACACTTTGATCCCAACCGGATGCTCAGAGAGTAAAGAAAATTGCAACTCGAATAGCACTGGCTGCTCGGTCAATGAATGGCGAATGTTTCCTTATTAGGAAACTGATTATATTAACATTAACATTACCAGCATTGTCATGGATTGAACATAAATATATGTAAACATTCAAGGAAAAAGCTGATATTACCATTAACATTATACGAAGTGGTCCGAAAGTCTTGTCAGACCCTACCAAAATGTAATGAGAACAATAGAAGAACAAGTAATACAAAGCACGTGTACTGGAATCAGTTATTCACTTTCATTGACGCTGTCACTAATCAAGAAGGTCTGTCTGAACATCATTTTCGTGTCAGACCTCTGAAAATAAAAAAATGATATTATTTAGAGGTGACAAGACTTAGAGACAACATTGTAGATTCATAGACGAAATTGCAAAATATCCTTATATGTAATCAAATGAAAGAATTGTAAAAACTGAGGGGTCAATTTTGTATTGTTCTTTAGTATTAAACACATCCCCCATTTATTTGCCATAGTACAGTGTGGTCCGAAAGTATTGTCACCGCCTACCGAAAAGTAATGAGACCAATAGAAGAAGAGGCACGTATATTGGATTCAGTTTATTCACATTCATTGAAGCTGTCACCAATCAAGGTCTGTAGGAACATCATCATTTTCGTGTCAGACATCTTGACAAGACTTTCAGACAATCCAGTAAAAAGAAAACACGAAAAGTTATTCGATAGATAATTTTCTATTTAAAACGTGAGACCGAGTTGACATAAAATATACAAAACTAACCAATGTCGAGTTTTGGAGCTCTAGAGTCTTTTACGTTTTTGATCTATATTTTGATAATAAGGCGTAGTTTTTTTTCTACCCAAGTACTTTCGATCTACAACAAGATCATCCTCAGGGGTAAATTATGAAGAGAAACTTATTGTCACTGTGATAAAATCTGATAATTAAAAAAAAAAAAAGCGCTCCGTTATAATTATTTTAAATACTCGTCATCTTTTATGTTTTTGATCTATATTTTGATGTTAAGGGGTAGTTTTTTTTTTCTACCCAAGTACTTTCGATCTACACAATGATCATCCTCAGGTGTAAATTCTGAAGAGAAACTTATTGTCACTGTGATAAAATCTGATAATTTAAAAAAAAAAGCACTCCGTTATAATTATTTTAAATACTCATCATCTTTTACGTTTTTGATCTATATTTTGATGTTAAGGCGTAGTTGTTTTTCTACCCAAGTACTTTCGATCTGCACAAAGATCATCCTCAGGTGTAAATTATGAAGAGAAACTTATTGTCACTGTGATAAATTCTGATAATTTTAAAAAAAAAACAACAAAAACGCTCCGTTATAATTATTTTAAATATTAACTAATAACCTCGACCAAAGTTCGCCGTAAAAAATGGTAAGACATTAATAGGGCAATAATTCGAAGGGTCAGAAGGTTCCCTAGGGTTATCAATTCATTTAATGCTACGTCCATTCTTTCATATCACACATCATCAGTTAACCCCGAGTGGTCTTTTGATCTTGCATTGGTTCGAGAGCCAATAAAAAATATCTCCGAACTCGAGAGTATTTGAAATATTTTCATGCGATTAGCTAGACACTCTTTAAGTGTCCTCTAGCAAGATCTTGGTACTTTTCGTTTTATATTTTATATTTTGCTTTCATGTAGATCACTGGCACAGCTACTCAAATCCGAGGATGCCAGTCGGCTAGGGTGACTAGCTAATCCTATTGCAGACGCTTGCT